TGAGTCTGGGCATTTAAAACCTTTGAGATTGACATCACCTGGTCTTCCCAGACGATGATTGAGAACAATCCATGACACTGGCAGGTCTCAGCTTTGCAAAGGGGGCAGTGCATGCTTTAAATTCTGCAGGGTGCCCAAACTTTTGCAGACGCCATTTTTTTGTTTTCTGTTATTTTGAAAGTGTAAATGATGGAAATAAAATCTAACTTTTGTTGACATATTATAAGAATGTCTATCTGTAATTTGATGCCTTTTGGAGATTTTTCCATCTTTCCTTGGCTTCTTTATGCACATTAATACAAATGTTTAGCTGGGGTGCCCAAACTTTCGATCCCCACTGTATATATATATATATATATATATATATATATATATATATGTATTACAGAGTAGCTCCAGGCAGAAATACATATACACTGGTGTGCAGGAAATATTGTCACTTTGCACATCTTAAATGTTGCTCCTAAATTATTAACCTTACCCTTAAAATGAAACCCTTTGATGGGGTTAGTGACTGGAGGACGCTGGTAATCTTTGCATCCACAACTTGCCATACACTGGTAGAGTTTAATTCAATTTTGTTTGTTTTAAAGAAGAATTCCAGATATGGATATTATATATCAGGGGTGGACTGACAACTCATTGGGCCCCCGGGCAGTAAGAGATAATGGGGTCCCCTGTGTCCTTGCCTAAACTCAAGCATACCCACACAACACCCTACCTACATATTGCAGCTCAGCTGCATAGAAGGGGAATTTAAATATTTACTGCAGCAAAGACTACATGAATGTTTCCGGCTTCTTTTCATAAAGCCACTAGGTACTTCCAGGTTTAAAGATGGGTGCCATGTGGGGAAAGTGAAAGAGAGAGAGGGGAGTGAGAGAAAAAAAGAGGAGGGGTGTATGAGAGAGAGAGAAGTAGGAGGAGTGAGAGAGGAAGGGGATGAGAGAGGAGGGGTGTGTTTTAAATTGCGCTAAAAATTGGGCATGGCTTAAAAGGGATGTGGTTAAATAGTGTCTGAGATGACTTATATAGTGCAGAATGAGGTAATGTTAAATAGGGAATGTACAGTGTGGAGTGTATGACAGTGGGTAGTATGTACAGGGAGAGGAGTGCGGAGTGTATGGCGGTGGGTAATATGTGTAGGATGGTGTCAGTAGGTGGTGTCAGTAGTTCTTCATTTATATTATTATTATTTTATTTTTTTTTTACAATTGTATTATTTTTTTTACAAATTAATGTTTTATTATTTTTATCATTTTTTTTCAAAATGCTTTTGGGTGGCCAGTGGATGGTGTCAGTAGAGCAATGGCGTGGGTGTCAATTTTTTTTAATTTTTATAATCTAATTTTGAAAGGAAGGGAATAGATGGAGGAAGGAGGAAGGAAGGAAGGAAGGAAGGAAAAAGGAGAGATGGAAGGAAGGGAAGGGAAGGAAGGGAAGGAAGGAGGGGTGGGAGGTAGGAAAGGAAGGAAGAAAAGGGAGGGAGGGAATGGATGGAGGAAGGAAGGAAAGAAAATGGGTGGATGAAGTAATGAAGGGGAAGGAAGGAAGGAAGGAAGGAAGGAAGGGGAAGGAAGGAAGGAGGGAGGAAGGAAGGAAGAAAAGAAAAGATGGAATAGATGGAGGGAGGGAGGGAGGGAGGAAGGAAATGGATGGAGGAAGGAATGAAGGAAAGGGAGAGAACGAAGGAGGGGAGGGAGGAAGAAGGAAGGAAAATGAAAGGAGGGGAGGAAGGAAAGAAGGGAGGAAGGAAGGAGGAAGGAAGGAAGTAGGAAGGGAGGAAGGAAGGAAGGAAGGGAGGAAGGGAATGGATGGAGGAAGGAAGGAATGGATGGAGGAAGGGATGAAGGAAGGGGAGGGAAGGAGGAATGATGAAGGAAGGAAGGAAGGAAGGGGAGGGAGGAAGGAAGGAAGAAAACAGAATAAATAGAGAAAGGAGGGAAGGAAGAGAAGAGAAGGAAGGAAGAAAAAGGGAGGGAGGGAGGGAGGGAGGGAATGGATGGAGGAAAGAATGAAGGAGAGGGAGGGAAGGAAGGAGGGGAGGGGAGGGAGAGGGAGGAAGGAAGGAAGGAAGGAAATGAAAGGAGGGGAGGCAGGAAGGAAAGAAGGATATGAAAGGAAGGGAGGGAGGAAAGAATGAAGGGAGGGGATGAGGAGGGAGGAAGGAAGGAAGGAAGGAAGGAAGGAAGGAAGGAAGGAAGGAAGGAAGGAAGGAAGGAAGGAAGAAGGAAGGAAGGAAGGAAGGAAGGAAGGAAGGAAGGGAAGGAAGTGTAGGAGGAATGGAGAAAGGAAGGAAGGATTGAAGGAATGGGAGGGAAGGAAGGGGGAAAGAAGGAAGGAATGATTGAATGACGAGGAGGAAGGGAAGGAAAAAATTAAGGGAGGGGATAGAGGAAGTAATGAAGGTAAGGAAGAAAAGGGATGGAGGGAATGGAGGAAGGAAGAAAATGGATGGAGGAGGATGGAATGAATGAAGGGGAGGGAAGGTAGGAAGTGAGGGAGGAAGGAAGGAAGAAAAAGGAGGGATGAAATAGATGAAGGAAGGAAGGAAAGAAAGGGAGGGAGGGAGAGTGAAAGAAAGGAATGGAGAGAGAGAGGGAGGGAGGGAAGGAAAGGAAAGAATGAAGGGAGGGGATGGAGGAAGGAAGAAAAGGGAGGGAACCTCCCGGACCCATCGCCCGACTCACTCTGCCACCACGTGAAGTGACAGGTGAACTACTTCTGGGTCAGGATTCTGAGTTTGCCTCCTCCTCCGCTCCCCACACTCTCACTGGACAGTGATTCTCTCACGGGCCCCCTACTGACCCCGGGCAAAGCCCGAATGGTCAGTCTGCCCCCTGTTATATATACAGTTACGTTTGTCTTACTTGGACATATGTAACTACTTATAAACCATACCTGGCATACCATACAGGGTTGTTTTTTGAAGACTGCACAGAAACACCCCTTTTTTTTCATCTTTGCTTGTTTCACAAACAATTTATGTCAGCGACATGGTGGTATATGTTTCAGTGCACTTTATGTTTTATTTATTTTATCTCAAATGTTTTTGGTTTATTATGCACAATGATTTGTGGCATTTGATTGTAGCACATAGATTGTAAAAGATTTATTTTGATGATTTAGGCTTGGTTCACATCTGTGCGGGTGGTGCCATTGCGGATCCGCACAAAAATCCATGCAGCCGCACCACCCGCACAGAAGAATGCAGACCCACGGGCGGGTGTAATTAATTCTAATGGTACGCCGCCCGCATTAAAAATCACAACTGCACTGGGAACCGAGGTTCCAGTGCGGGCAGCGGTTTCCAAAGAGGTGCAGGGACTTCTTCCCTGTGTGTCCCTGGACACGGGAGCCCATTCAAATGATGCACGGCCGCATATATGTGAACCAGGGTTTAGAGTATAAGAGCATTTTGATTTCAGCTGCTCTTGTGCATATGAATATTCACCCTAGCGCGGTGTATAATATATAATGTATCTCGATACCATAAGACCATTCTTATTATTATACAGGATTTAAACATGACACCTTACTAGCAGTAAGCCTGCTTATAGGAAGATATGCCCTCTATACCGGTTCTACTGACAATTTAAAAATTTCTATTTTTTTCCTCTTTTCCATTGACAACAGTCACCAGGACTATTGGGGAGTACACAGTCAGCATTTAAAATGTAACATAAGTTTTTACTCCTACCCTCTCTATCCAAATGTTTTCATAAATTGTTATAGATACATTTGGCAGATTAATTCAATAAAATGTGCATTATCTACACTTGGATGTATTTTTTTCTACAGAAAATCTACATTAACTTATATTACTATTTTATATTTATGACTACTTTTAAGTCTTCTTTATCGCTGTTTTGAAAAAGTAACCAGATAAAGCAACTGATAAAAAATGATTATTAAGCAGGAAAATCTTTGTGCTTCCTTTGAAATTTGTGATTGATGCTTTTTTTAAAAAAAGCATTCTTTTCCTAGCTGAAAATTGAAACGTTGAGCAGTCCTCACACCCCCTCAAAATACTTAACTTGTTCAGCATATGACCTTTACATGACAGAAGAAGAATTAAAACCTTGGACTTTTGGAATGTAAAGGTCTTTCACTGACCTGTAACACTTCGCTGACTGCACGTTGGCATTTGATGTTTTAAGCTTACGTGATACTTGTTGAGATATTTTTTAAAACTCGCCATTTTCCAGTGTCTGCACCTGCTGAAATGGAAAGCTCTGATAACTCTGAAGCTTTCTTTAACGCCTTGATGGAAGTCATATTATGTAAACAACATGGAATGTAGGAATAGATATCCGACAAGTCTAATCTAGACAACTGTGACTGTACAGTTCAACCATGATCTATTACATGGTTCACCTGAAGACCTGTACACCAGAATTCTGCAATCATTGATTTTATTTGTTAAAAGAGAACATTCTACATTTTTAAAGCTCAACTCTAGGGCTGTTTTTTTTTTCTCTTTATGGCCCCCCCAGGTGTTTTAAAAAATTAAAAAGCAGCTCCAAGCTGTGCCCCCAGTGCTGTGAATGGCCTTCACTGGTAAACACACAGCAAGCAGCAGAAGTCTGGAGGGAGTGAGGGTGACCAACTGATAGGTGGTTGACCCTGGACATTGGACTTGAGGACTTTAAGGCCCCATGTACACGGGACACTTCTGAACGATGGAAACTGCTGGAAAACGTAGGTCAAAAAACATCTGTTTAGCCGCATTTTCATAACGTGTTTATGCGCATTTGCATTTAGAAGCGTTTTTTAAAGATAAGCACAGGAGAACCTCCCAAATGCCCAGAATGCGCTGAAAAGTGGTAAATGATTAACTATTTTAGACTGTTTCAGAGAAATACAGTGAGTTGAAGCAGAGGGAGCAGTATGTGTTGAGATTAGCTTAAGTGTGAGTTGCTCATTAACATTTCTTTTGTTTCCAAGGGTGGGAAGGTGTCTGGTGGAGTGAGTCATTAAGGCCACCTGGCAGGGGGTCTTCATGAGGTATTTGAGGTGTGAATGCTTATTAACATATTTCTTGTTTCCAAGGGTGGGAGAGGTCTGCTGTGTGAATTGGTCATTACAATGTGTGACAAGCTTGGTAGGAGCATCCTGTGTTCAGTATTTTGTCCATTTGAGTACCTTGAAAATGCTTTGCATGCATTTTTCATGATGAAAAAGGTTCTGGACAGCTTCGGGAACTGGGGAAATGGAAGAGTTAAAAAATTTTTTCAACTGCAAACACTTACAAACGTGATTTGCCGTGTTTACAAGCGTTTTGTGTTTTAAACGCTCATAAAATCGACTGCTGAATGCAAGTTTTCTGTGTTAAAAAAAAACACTGTAAACTCAAGCCTGTAAACGACTGTAAATGAAGATGTGTACATGGACACATAGGAAAACATTAGGATGAGTTCAGGGGCTGCTGAAAAAAAAACGCTGAACAGCTCCTAAACGTGAGTTTATCAGCTGCACTGTACATAAGCCCTAAAGCTTAACTTCAAGCAAAAAAGCTAAATACACACACATCTATGTAAATCTTACCTGCCAAGTGATTTGTATTTCTGTTCAGATGGTCTTGTGGTCCAGGCATTCCTGCCAAATAGCACAGTCAAGGAGATGAACATCTGTGATTGCCGAAAACTTCTTGCCTTCTGACTCTCTTACAGATTGTGACTGGACAATGACAGAGCGTCACTGCACTGATAAAGGCATTATTTTGCTGTCTCTGCCTGTTGGCAGTCTAGTAGAGTCCCACTGGCTCACAGGGCTGACAATTCCAGTCTAAAATTTGCTGTGCAGGTGAATATAGAAACATGCTATGAGTGCCCTTTCACACTGTAACCTAGGAATCTATTGTCACTGGCAGCCGATCGCACACCTGGTATGTTTGGAGTGCGGTGAGGGAAACGTACACAAAATGCGAGTTTCCTGAACTGAGTTCCAAATGCATCAGATGCACATTCTGCTGTGGGTGTCAATAGATTCCTAATGACACTCCAAATGCAGATTACAATGCAGTATGTTTGCCTGCACCGGATCACATGGTGCCACAATATCATGCGATCTGGTTCAGTGGGTTTATAAACACTTCAGTACCAGACACTTTTATCCCCTTCCTGTCCAGGACATTTCAGCTTTCATCACTGTCACACTTTGAATGATAATTACCCAGTCATGCAACACTGTACCCAAATGAAATTTTCATAATTCTTTTCACACAAATAGAGTTTTCTTTTGGTGTTATTTGGACACCACTGAGTTTTTTATTTCTTGCTAAATAAATGAAAAAAAAAATATATTTTTTTTTCAAAAATGTGGTTTTCTATGTTTCTGCTATAACATTTTGCAAATAAATTATCTTTCTTCATAAATTTAGGCAAAAATGTATTCTGCAACATTTCTTTGGTAAAAAAATAACCCAAATCAGTGTATATTATTTACCCTGTAGGAAAGTTAGAGAGTCTGAAAAACTATGTGATATAGATTATATTTGAAAATGGTTAAGTCCTGACATACAGGTGAAAGTCAAAAAATTATAATATCGTGCAAAAGTTCATTTATTTCAGTAATGCAACTTAAAAGGTGAAACTAATATATGATATAGACTCATTACATGCAAAGCAAGATAGTTCAAGCCGTGATTTGTCATAATTGTGATGATTATGGCTTACAGCTCATGAACACCCCAAATCCACAATCTCAGAAAATTTGAATATTACATGCAATCAATAAAACAAGGATTGTACATAGAACAATATCGGACCTCTGAAAAGTATAAGCATGCATATGTACGCAGTACTTGGTTTGGGCCACTTTTGCAGCAATTACTGCCTCAATGCAGCGTGGCATGGAAGCTATCAGCCTGTGGCTGAGGTGTTATGGAAGACCAGGATGCTTCAATAGCGGCCTTCAGCTCTTCTGCATTGTTCGGTCTCATGTCTCTCATCTTTATCTTGGCAATGCCCCATAGATACTCTATGGGGTTCAGGTCAGGCGAGTTTGCTGGCCAATCAAGCACAGTAATCCCACGGTCATTGAACCAGGTTTTGGTGCTTTTGGCAGTGTGGGCAGGTGCCAAGTCCTGCTGAAAAATGAAGTCAGCATCCCCATAAAGCTCGTCTGCGGAAGGAAGCATGAAATGCTCCAAAATCACCTGGTAGATGGCTGTGTTGACCTTGGACTTAATGAAGCACAGTGGACCAACACCAGCAGATGACATGGCTCCCCGAATCAACACAGACTGTGGAAACTTCACACTGGACTTCAAGCATCTTGCAGTGTGTGCCTCTCCATTCTTCCTCCATACCCTGGGTCCTTGGTTTCTAAATGAGATGCAAAAGTTGCTCTCATCAGAAAAGAGGACTTTGGACCACTGAGCAACAGACCAGGTCTGTTTTTCTTTAGCCCAGGTAAGACGCTTCTGACGTTGTTTGTTGTTCAGGAGCGGCTTGACAAGAGGAATACGACATTTTTGAAGCCCATGTCCAGGATCCGTCTGTGTGTGGTGGCTCTTGATGCACTGACTCCAGCCTCAGTCCACTCCTTGTGAAAGGCCCCAACACTTTTAAATGGCCTTTTCCTGACAATCGTCTCCAGGCTGCGGTCATCCCTGCTGCTTGTGCACCTTTTTCTTCCACACTTTTCCCTTCCACATAACTTTCTATTAATGTGCTTTGATACAGCACTTTGGGAACATCCAGCTTCTTTTGCAATTACCTTTTGAGGCTTTCCCTCCTTATGGAGGGTGTCAGTGATGGTTTTCTGCACAACTGTCAGGTCAGCAGACTTTCCCATGATTGTGATTCCTACTGAACCAGACTGAGAGACCATTTAAAGGCTCAGGAACCCTTTGCAGATGTTATGGCTTAATTAGCTGATTCGAGTGGGACACTTTGAGCCTAGAAAATTGCACCTTTTCACAATATTCTAATTTTCTGAGATTGTGGATTTGGGGTTTTCCTGAGCTGTAAGCCATAATCATCACAATTATAACAAATCACGGCTTGAACTATCTTGCTTTGCATGTAATGAGTCTATCTCATATATTAGTTTCACCTTTTAAGTTGCATTACTGAAATAAATTAACTTTTGCACAATATTCTAATTTTTCGACTTTCACCTGTTCTGATGGTCTATCCCATTTCTTGAGGCCCAAAAATGCCAGGACAAAAAAAAAATATCCCCCAAATGATGCCTTTTTGGAAAGTAGATAGTTCCAGGTATTTAGTAAGATGCATGGCAAGTTTTTCTGAAGTTCTAATTTTTTGTCACAATTTTTTTGAAAATTGAGAAATGTGAAAAATTCACAAATTTTCATAATTTCTTTTTATATACTGTCACCAGTGCAGTACAGCATCATCGTTTAACTGGTGGGGTGGTGATCAGGAACAATGACTGGTGACAGTATGTAAAAAAAAAAATTAATTAATAATTCTTTTTTTTTTCTATCTTATTACTTTTTTTATTTGCTTACTTTTTTTTTTTTTTTACGTACTGTGATCAGGGCAGTACTGTGTTACCATAGTAACATAGTACTACTGTACTATTCTGGGGATGTGACCAGGATATTTTTAAAACTAATTTCTTCATTTTCCAAAAAATTATGACAAAAAATTACAACTTCAAAAAACCCGCCATGCCATACTTTCCAAAAAAGGGTAATTTGGGGGATATCTGTACTGTCCTGACATTTTTGGGCCTCAAGAAATGAGATAGACCATCAGTACATTGGGAATTAACAATTTCAGATATATACCATAGTTTATAAACTCTGCAACTTTCCTACAAACTAAATAATAAACACTGTTCTGCGTTATTTTCACCAAAGAAATGTAGCAGAATTGGCCTAAATGTATGAAGAATAAACATTTATTTGCAAAATTTTATAACAGAAATGAAGAAAAACATGTTTTTTCTTTTTACTTTTGATCTTTTATTTTTTATTTATTTAGCAAAACATAAAACCCCAGTGGTGATTAAATGTCACCAAAAGAAAGCTCTATTTGTGTGAAAAAAATTATAATAATTTCATAGGGGTACAGTGTTGCATTACCGCGCAATTGTCATTCAAAGTGCGACAGCATTGAAAGCTGAAAATTGGTCTGGGCATGAGGAGGGTGAAAGTGCCCAGTACTGAAGTGGTTAAAATATGTTAAGTGAATTTAACTAGATTTGCAATTGTTTTCTGGATCAACATGTAATAAACCTATGCTGCAGTGGGTACCAAGAAAAAAATAACACTGCTGTGTTAATGCTATTTGCATACTGCATCATATATGTGACTTTTAAGGTAGTGTACCCCCCAACTGGGCCACTGTGATAACTGATTCCTTTTTAAAATTTAGTGCATAAACAGCCAAGCAGACAGCATTTTTTCTCTCTCTCTCTTTGACTCTATAACAGTCAAGGGAGTGTCTTGTAAGCTTTATTGCATAATAAACCTGGATGGGGTGAAAAGAACATGGGCTCAGGGCCGGTGCTAGACTATTTGGTGCCCTAGGCAAGACCAACTACTTGCAACCCCCCCCCCCAAAAAAAAAAAACAGAAAATATTAAATCAACAAAAACCATGAAACTGTTAAATTTCTTTTAATTTGTAAAAATAAGTGCCATAGGATACCACCAGCATGAATATTAAAGACAAAATATATATTAACCAAATATAAAATTAACTGTATTAACCAATCAGACAGAGAAACAAAAACAAACAAAAAAAGACAGTTACATTAAGGGACTGCGTCTGAGAGGAACACTGGAAGAAGTGGTAAGTAACTTTGATAAATACAAAATAAATGAAGTTTGCTGTCCTTTTAGAGTAGTCATATCTTTCTCATATTATATGCTTAAAGATGAACGTCACTCTCCCAATCAACATTAACTTTTTTTTAATCCTTATGCTGCTATTATTAGTAGATAGATAGAGAGGTATATCATATTTACTTGTTTTAAACAGTTTTTTTTATATTTCTATAGTTACGTCCTAGTTTCCAGGCCTAAGCAAATGATGTCATACATCTCAACTGGACAAGTTTATTTTCAATTTTCATAGTCATTTTTGTGTGTGTACTTTAAGTGATACTTTCCTTACACTACCATTAAAAGAAAATCCACCTTTTTAAAAAATAAATCCTAATTTTAACTTTTCTTGAACTTTAATGCTTAGACTTGCCAGAAGACAATATTGGAATGAAATAATTTTATCTGATGATCATTAAACTGGAATACTAGGTGCATTAACGGAATAATTATTCTTTGAAACATTTTAATCACATCTTCAATTACTCTGATAGATTTCACCTATTAATTTATCTGGCCTACCCTGCCTTTATGCAATGAAAACTGGAACATATCAGGTCAGTCCAAAAGTTCAGTTCAGTCTTTCAACACTAATTCTTAACTTTATCTCATTTAACTCAGTATGTGCCTGCCAACTAAATGTGTACTTTAGGATCTACAAGCTGAAAAAAATGAATATTCAAGGGTGAGAAAAGGTCACAAATAGTGATGAAAAAATGAATTTATCCAAATTCAAAGTTTGGAGCTTGTCTGTTTTTTTTATTGCACCACTAACAGATTTTAGCACAAGCTAAACATTCTAGAACAGCAACTGGCTTCGATATTTGGAAAGGATACATAGGTCACAACAAAATTTTAGGTAGTGTCAGAGTGCTCCTTATTTCTTAATATATAATATTTATTTTATGTATAAATGTGCAAAGCGTGGGCAGTACTATTTCAATACATGGAGAGTAGGGTGATTAGGGTTACAGGATACATAGTGCATAAAACTTACTTGAAGAAACAAATATTATTATTATTATTATACAGGATTTATAAAGCGCCAACAGTTTGCTCAGCGCTTTACAATATAACGGGAGACAATACAGTAACAATACAGTTCAATACAAGAGGGTTAGGAGGGCCCTGCTCCTTGGAGCTTACAATCTAGGAGGGAGGGACTAGTGGTACAAAAGGTAGTAACTGTGGGGGATGGACTGGTTGGAAGAGTAGAAGATTCCAGTATTAGCTGAGTGCAGGATAGGCTTCCCTGAAGAGATAGGTTTTCAGAGATCGCCTAAAAGTGAGCAGAGTAGGCGATAGTCTGATAAATTGGGGTAGAGAGTTCCAGAAGATGGGGGAAGCTCTGGAGAAGTCCTGGAGATGAGCATAGGAGGAGGAGACAAGGGAGCTAGAGAGTAGGAGGTCTTGCGAGGAGTGATAAAAAAAAGTAACTAAATTACATAAATATCTGTGCTCTTTTCCATCTGAACCCATTCCTGGGCCAGTCAGTGCTGTCACACATGGATACATAGACCTGTGTAATCTACAAATGTACTGACTTGTAGCTTAACCCAGGCCTTCCTTTGTTTCCCATGGCAAAATAGAGTGGCAGGGGGAGAGAGAGAAGGTTGGCATATTCTGCTGAGGAGCACAATTTCACTTTAAAGCATATCTAAACCCAAAAACAAAACATTAACAATTGCAAATTGCCAGTCCATAGAAATGGTGACTGCATTTGTGTTCACTTTTCAGGCTATACAGTAGTTTTGGCAAGTACTGAAAATACTTGTTGACCTGTGGAGAACTGAAATATTCTTGTCAGTTCCTGAGTGCTGAAGTGAAAGCACAAAACCCTATCTTCATCGTGTAAACTACTAGTCTTATCAATCCATGGAGACAAACAATGGCAGGCATGTTGGAAGTTTGAATTCCAGACTTTGATGTGACAACCATGGCTACTTCCATGGCAACAGAGATAAATGCATAGACATGAAGAGATAGGAAGTACCAACTTTAATACTCTGCAACAATACACTGAACAAAGGAGTTCACTACACAGAGAACAATAAACACAAAATATATGGCAAAATCCCAGAGTTGCATAAGCAATTCCCTCTATGACAGAAACTAGATCAAATCTATATAATAAAAAAAAAAATTAAAAAGTAGACTTAGTAAGTTCTTAATAGTCCATTGATATGGTCCATGTTAGACTTCTAACATAAAGTAGGCAGCTCCATCAAGAGACTGGAATAAATCTCTGCCAAGACTATAGGAACACAAGGGGGGCCACTAAGTGTATTATTAAAAAACACTATAAAATGTTACTAAACCCGATTTCTCATCAGCAGTAACAGCAGTCTTGTGACTTCTATCAGTGTTCAGCAGAGCACTGGTTAAAGCTTGTAGGAGGAGTTTTCTCTAGTAGCATGCAGAACCTCTGACCTCTGTCTGGGCAGTGCTGATTGGCCCTGTGCTAATCACATGTACTCTCCCAAGAAAAAAAAAACCTCTCTAGCAATACACTTGAGCATGTGCAGTGTCTCCACACAATATGTCTTATCAGAATATAAGAGAGAGACACTGGAAGAAGTGGAGGATCAGAGAAGTCAGGATCAAACATCATTTTTACACAATGCAGAGGATTAACCCCTTAGGTTCTACAGTGAGTATACCAAGCATGTTTTACTGCCTATACAGACTGATTTTACTGTTGTGGGTTTAGTAACACTTGAATAGAACAGCTGGGTATGCACTCAGATCAATCCATGAACAAAGTGCTTGTACAAACAATTAGCATCAACAGAGTGATGGGTGTCAGCAGCATGGATGGCAGAGCCGAGCAGCCGTGCTTCAGCTGGGATAGACGGGCATTCTAAACCACCGTGGAATATGGAGCCAGAAATGACGTCAGGCAAGGGAAGGTCCATTGCCTGAGTAACGCGTTTCGGTGTGCCAAAGCTCCTTAGTCAAATCTGATAGGCTGTAGAGAGCGGTGCTATTATTTATAGGTGCAGGGGAGCCTGTGGGAGGGGCAGGCAATCCCAGCATTAGAAGGAAAGCAGAAGTATCACAAATGCCACACAGGACCCATCCACAAATAGATAAATAAAATGATAAATAGACTAATCCATAAATAATCACAGTAAAGACCAGATTAAGATTAACCAGTTTAAAGTGTAAAGGAGCAACATATGATACAATAAATACATAAAATACAATAATACTGTGACCTCAATATGTATATATATATATATATATATATATATATATATATATATACACACTATCCCACCAAAAGTATTGCCTGCCTTTACATGCACATGAACTTTAATGGTGCCCCAGTCTTAGTCCATAGGGATCAATATTGAGTTGGCCCACCCTTTTCAGCTATAATAGCTTCAACTCTTCTGGGAAGGCTGTCCACAAGGTTTAGGAGTGTGTCTATGGGAATGTTTTACCATTCTTCCAGAAGGTCAGGCACTGATAGCGGACGAAAGGGTCTGGCTTGCAGTCTTCACTCTAATTGATTTCAAAGGTGTTCTTCTGGTTGAGGTCGGGACTCTGTGCATGCCAGTCAATTTCATCCACCCCAAACTCACTCAGCCATGTCTTTATGGACCTTGCTTCTCGTACTGGTGTGCATTCATGTTGGGACAGGAAGGGGCCATCCCCAAACTGTTTCCCACAAAGTTGGGAGCATGAAATTGTTCAAAATGTCTTGGTATGCTGACACCTTGAGAGTTCCCTTTACTGGAACTAAGGGACCAAGCCCAACCCCTGAAGAGAAACCACACACCATAATTCCCCCTCTAGCAAACTTTACACTTGGCACAATGCAATCAGGCAAGTACCATTCTCCTGGCAACAGACAAACCCAGACACGTCCATTGGACTTCCAGACAGAGAAACGTGATTTGTCACTCCAGAGAGCACGTGTCCACTGCTCTAGAGTCCATTGACGGTGTGCTTTACACCACTGCATCTAATGCTTTGCATTGCACTTGATGATGTAAGGCTTGTATGAAGCCGCTTGGCCATGGAAACCCATTCCATGAAGCTCTCTACACACTGTTGGTGTGCTAATCTGAAGGCCACATGAAGTTTGGAGGTCTTTAGCTATTGACGTTGCAGACAGTTGGAGGCTTCTGCGCACTGTGAGTTTCAGCATGTGCTGAACCCGCTCTGCCATTTTACATGGCCTACCACTTTGTGGCTTTGTTGCTTCCACTTTGTTTTAATACCACTAACAGTTGACCATGGAATATTTAGTAGCAATGAAATTTTAGAGATGGACTTATTGCACAGGTCGCAACCCATCACAGTACCATGCTTGAATTTACTGAGTTCCTGAGAGTGGCCCATTCTTTTACAAATGTTTGTAGAAGCAGTATGCATACCTAGGTGATCGATTTTATACACCTGTGGCCATGGAGGTGATTGGAACACCTGAATCCAATGATTTGGAGGGGTGCCCCAATATAGTATATATATATATATATATATATATATATTTAAAAATATAAAAATAAAGGATACCTTTAAGGATATATAATCCAGCAATAAGGATACATGTGTCCCATTTGATGATAGCTGGGGAAGAAAAAAGGGAATAAAAAATTGTGAGACATATTCAATAGTGATTCTATCAAATTACTTATGTGTAATGAACAACTCTATCTGTGTACCCTTATAACATATTGAGAAAGGTAACCAATAGTCAATAATTAATAATAATACACAGCCAGAGCAGCATTATTATAGATTGGTGCTAATTTCTATCTCCTCATTCAGACCTATTGGAACCAATGTATCGAGTAAATAGAGCCAGTAGGTCTGCTCGCACAGTTTTTTTAGGTGTTTGGCAGGGGAATAAGTACTGGGGATACCTTCAATGACCCACATCTTTAAGCCATCAGAAGATTTGTCATGATGTTCTTTAAAGTGTCAAGGGATACTATGTTTGTCAATCCCTTCCTCCATGAACCGGCAATGTTCGGCAAAACATTTTCTCAGTGTCCGTATGGTTTTACTAAAGTAGAGCAAACCACACAGACACATGAGGCAGTAACCTAAAAAATTTAGAGCAGCTGTAGAATTTCTTGATGTCGTAAGTTTTCCCTTTTACTTGGAATTGTTTCTGACCATGTGTGACATGCTTGCAAGTTAGGGGTATGGATTTCTTACACTGATACATCCCCTTAAGGGAAAGCAACAAGGAAAGTGATGGAGAGGAGGTTTTTTACACTTAAGTTTGCTCGGGGCAATTTTGTTTTTTATGTTAGGAGCTTTCCTATAGGCCATTTTTGGTACTTCAGTTGCTCTGCCAGTAATTTGAAGATAAAATTCACCATCAAAATAGAAGTAATTATGAGACAGACAAAAGCTGATCGCTTCCAAAATAAAAACTCGCTTATGTGTGACTAAGTAAGGGTCTTCCATTAGGAAATGTTGCACAACTAGAATTGTAATGTCACGGGGTACAAATGTATATAGGAAGCTTACATCAAGGGAAACCCACTCGTAGGTGGGCTCCCAGATGTTTTTGTGTAGCATTTCCATTAGGTGATTGCCATCCCTAATATATACGGGTATGAAAATGACAATGAGCCAAAACAAATCCAAGTAATCACTGCCAACATCCCTGTAAATGATACAGAAAAAATATGACCAGAAGGTCAAGAGAACCCATGGGAATTTGAAGGCAAAAGTATAAAACATGCAATATATTAATAGACCAATAGTCAATATTTATTTGTAATAACAAGAAATTGCCAAACAGCCAATAAAGTTGAATAAAACAGAGTGTGATACACAAACTAAGTAAACCAACATATACCCAAAATGGATTATAGATACACCAATGTTGATACATGTCTTGATTGGCAGTGGTGTATTCTTCCCATAACTCCCAACATGTTTTGAAACGAAGTTCCTTCCTCAGGGAACATACTGATGTAGTGGTACTACAATACAATAATGTCATATCAATAATGTATATAATAAAAATAAAAATATGTATTGCAGGTTTTAAACAAATGTAAAACACGGCAGATCAGTGTATGCAAATGCCTCCAAAGATAATGAAACTTACAATTATTGCGTGTATCAATATACCTCGTTTCAATAATGTCCACAGAGAAAAAGAAAAATAGTGAGACCACGGTCAAGCAGGGGGTCTTCAAATGGTATCCACGCCTCCAATATTCATAGGGCCACTACAAGGATCCCAAGAAGGCACCACCCATAGGAAAGACCAATCTATATGGAATACAAAGAACAACTACAATTTGGCTCATTGACAAGTGAACACATACGGTATAATATAGGGACAAAGGTTGGAAGTTATAAAAAAAATAAAAATAATAGTGATAATTATGAGAGCACAATAAGTCCAAAAAGATATAGCATAAAGCTAACACCTGCAGATCGCAATATGGGCTACATGCCCAATAGGTGTCAGCAAAAAATATGTATTTGTATCCTGAGTATAACAATGGAAAGTCACTGTAATGAAATAGAGAGCATCTTACCTAGTCGATCGCCATGAAAGTATACCTGACAGGGAAGTCAAAAAGTTCCTGACTAAATGGTAGGTATATATGGGTAAGGAGAGGAGGATGGTCCTCAGAAATGGCCTATGGCGTCCCTAAAACAGGGAATGCATGCCCACCGCACAGGTGCATCGCGGAGCAGCGTGCAAGCTGGGATCCCCAGACATGGCATTGAGCTGCGTACCACGTCAGGCAGGTGCATAATAACGTCATGCATCACCACGCCACCAGAGTGTGCATGACAGCCACCGTGCCGGAAACCAGCGCCCTATGACAGAGGGAGCAAATCCATTGTCAAGAGGCCAGAAAGTAGCCCCCTCCGCCAAGCCAGCTGACAAAAAATTGTCCCCCCCTGGGCCAAATGGCAACCAGGAGGGACCTGCGTGCACCGGGCATTGGACTTCAGAAAAAAGAGAGGAAGAAAAGGAAAGAAATAATATGACATCCAGGGAAGACACAAAAAAAAAACAGAATAATAATAAATGCATAGGAGGCATGTGCATACATATGAGAAGAGTGGGACATGTGAATTTGAAATATTGCATCGGAACACACACTGATCATTAGTTCATATACAGAGATATATGGACATTCACAAAAATAACAATAAAAATAATAATATCTACCCCATGGTAAATACATATAGATAGACACAAACCAACCAGACATCATATACTGGTCTGACACCTATAGATAGCATTATCAGACATCATATTAATATTGGATATTACATATTCAATTCTCATCCCCCTGATCTAAAGCCTTCAAGAAATAGTTTTAGGTTAAAGGCCTCGTTGAGGTTGAGGGCTTCAGTGGCGTTAAGAGTGTAGATCCACCACAGCTCATGCTGGAGGAGGGATTTATTAAAATCACCCCCTCTGGACCTTAAGTGGATCCTGTCCAAAGCCAAAAACCATACATTAGGGGTAGATGTACCATGGGCCAAATCGGCATGACGCCCTAATAGAAAAATCTGGGTCCTTTTTACGTATGTTAGCTGTATGCCGATACATGCGTTTCCAGAACTCTAGTTTATTCTTCCCCACATAAAAAAAACCACCAGGTAAGGAGGTAGACAACCCCCGACATTTTCCAGTTGATATAGTGGCTGAGACGAAAAATTGTCCCATTGGGGAGCCTGATGAGGGGTCTGATGAAAGAACAATAGGCACAAGACCTGCACTGGAACATCCCCAATCTTTTGTATTCCATATAGATTGGCCTTTCCTATGGGTACTGGTCATATTTTTTCTGTAATATATACGGGTAGGGACTTGGCTAAAGGCTGCAAAAACTGATCAATGTACATTGAAAATCCACTAGTGATGCTTTCCTGGAGAGCCAATGGGTCATCCAGGAGGATTATTAGCATCCTTGTGGATTTTCGGTAGGTGGTAAAAGTACAGGACTTTATAGAACTCTTTCTTAAAAAAAAAACAGCCTCGGTCTTAGTAATGACACCTTGGGTCTTGGCTGTATCTACAGTTGCAAGAAAAAGTATGTGAACCCCTTGGGATTATGTGGAGTTTTGCATGAATTGGGCATAAAATGTGCTCTGAACAACATCTAAGTCACAACAATAGAAGAACACAGTCTGCTGAACATAATACTACACAAACATTAGATGTTGCCATGGTTTAATTGCACATAACATGTAAACATTCACAGTGCAGGGAGGAAAAAGTATGTGAACCTTTGGACTTAATAACTGGTTGACCCTCCTTTGGCAGCAATAACCTCAACCAAACGTTTCCTGTAGTTGCAGATCAGACCTGCACAACGATCTGGAGTCATTTTGGACCACTCCTCTTCACAAAACTGTTTCAGTGTAGCAATATTCTTGGGATGTCTGGTGTGAATCGCTCTCTTAAGGTCATGCCACAGCATTTCAATCGGGTTGAGGTCAGGACTCTGACTGGGCCACTCCAGAAGGCGTATTCTGTGCTGTTGCAGCCATTGTTTTTGTTGAATTACTTGTATGCTTTGGGTCATTGTCCTGTTGCATCACCTATCCTCTGCGGAGCTTCAGTTGGTGGACAGATGGTCGTACGTTTTCCTGCAAAATGTCTTGATAAACTCTGGAATTCATTTTCCCATCAATGACAACAATCCGTCCAGGCCCTGAGGCAGCAAAGCAGCCCCAAACCATGATGCTCCCTCCGCCATGTTTCACAGTGGGGATGAGGTTTTGATGTTGGTGTGCTGTGCCTTTTTTTCTCCACACATAGTGTTGTGTGTTCTTCCCAAACAACTCAATCTTGGTGTCATCTGTCCACAGTATACTTTGCCAGTAGTGCTGTGGAACATCCAGGTGCTCTTTTGCAAACTTCAAACGTGCTGCAATATTCTTTTTGGACAGCAATGGCTTCCTCCGTGGTGTCCTCCCATGTACTCCATTCTTGTTTAATGTTTTCCTTATTGTAGATGTGTCAACAAAAATGTTAGCATGTGCCAGAGATTTTTGTAGGTCTTTAGCTGACACTCTGGGATTCTTCTTTACCTCATGCAGCATTCTGCGCTGTGCTCTTGCAGTCATTTTTACAGGACGACCACGCCTAGGGAGAGTAGCAACAGTGCTAAACTTTCTCTATTTGTAGACAGTCTGTCTTACCGTGGACACATGAACATCAAGGCTTTTGGAGATACTTTTGTAACCCTTTCCAGCTTCATGCAAGTCAACAATTCTTGATCATAGGTCTTCTGAGAGCTCTTTTCTGCGAGGCATGGTTCACATCAGACAGTGCTTCTTGAAACCAGTAAACCCAAAACAGGTGTGTGTTTTTTAAGGGCAGGACAGCTGTCAGCAACACATCCAATATCATCACACTGATTGGAGTCAAGGTTGGCTCACTCCTGGCTCCAATTAGCTCTGGGAGAAGTCATTAAGCTAGGGCCTCACATACTTTTTCCTCCCTGC